CAAAACACTACGTACATTGGCGGACACAATGCACGCGCGGCTGCGCCTGTCGATGGCAGCCGTCGGCGCGTCCCTCCAGTTTACGCCGGGGGAGACTCTCTGTTCAGTATTGCAAGAGGGCTCCCTCGGAAATGTGAACGCCTCCTCTGGACCCGAAAATCCCGGATGAAGAGATATTTTTCACCATTGGCTCGACGCTCATGGATCTCCGCTTATGCCTGCTTCAGCTTCTGCCGTTTGTCCGCGTCGAGGTCGCGTAGTAGCCTGACGGGCTCCCCTTTCAGGCTGAAGGTGCGCTGGAATACGGACCTGTTGACCTCTATCTGTCCGAGAACGACTTTCAATGGACGTGCGTCACTGCCGTTCCGTTCGGTTCCCAGCCTGAAAGCGGCTTTCACTCGTATCGCCTGGGCCTGTGTTTCCTCGCCAGGGACGAAGAGTCTGGCCAGAACTCCTCAAAGCAGGGATATGTCCGCGGTTAGCCGGGCTAGCTCCGAGGATTCCGTGGACTCCGACATATTAACAGCTAGGAAGCATTGCTGTCTTGAGGGGCCTTCCCGTCGCTGGTCTCCTGCGATGGCCGGTCGGGGGACTGGCTCGGGGTTGGGGGCCACTCGGGATGCAAGCTGAGTAACGGGGCGTTCGATGCCGCTGGTCACAGCACTGTTGGGGGCACGCGTGGCAGCAGCAACTCGGGCGTACGATCTGGTGTTGGTGTTGAACGACGAAGCTGGTGGCGCCGGCGGTGTCGGAATCGACGCAGGGGCAGTAATCGCTGATGATCCAGGCTCGATCGCTGTCACTGCGCGGCCCTCCCTGGAGGTCGGTCGCGCGTCGTTGATTGCACACCTGCGTCTCGGTCGTCTCTGCTCATCGGCGGTGTCAGTTGGCGGCGCCTTGGTTGATGCGGACTGGTGCGTACAATCCTCAGGCCCACTTGCGGTCGGCAGGGGCTGCACTCCTCCGCCGACACTCGGTTTGCAGAATACAGGGAGACAATCGTTACATACAAACTTCATGTTTGGGGAGTCACACGACTGGAAGGCTGTATACATGTCCGGCGGTACGCTAGTACATGTAACATGACGTCAACATTGACACAAATCACATAATAGGGCCT